AAACATAGTTAACCTGCTGTTATATAGGTAATGTCTGTGTGTACATTTAATGAAGTGCATTAAGTGTAGTGTATATGTAAGTTAACATTTAAACATGAATTAAGCTGTTAATTTAATAAGAAATGTTAGAAAATCAGTAAATTCAAGTAAAAAAGATTAAGTAATGCTTAATAGATGTGTTCATTGTTAATTCATGTTAAGCAATGCAATAACGTAGAACCTTTTTGTGACTATATAGAGTAGTCAACATTTGTAGTGGATCAAAACATTTTTCAAAATCGTGCCAAGACAAGAATGGGTGTTGTTTAATAGTTTTAGGACAACTTTAATGAAAGGGGTTGATCCACTTCAATTGTTGACTACTTTTTATAGCCTATACAACAGGGAAAATAAGTATTGAACACGTCTCCGTTTTTCTCAGAAAGCATATTTCTAAAGGTGCCGTTGTCTTAAAATTTTCCCCGGATGTTGATAACAAGCAAAGAAATTCAAAATTGGAAAGAAAACAAAACTAAGTTCAGTGTAATAAAATGAAATGATGCAGGGAAAAAAGTATTGAACACATGAAGAAAGGCAGGGAACACCCAGACAGCAACGAAAACCTCTTAGTAGTTCCAGCCTGATCTCACGAGGAAACGCAAGTATTTTACGTTTTGCCAGTTTAGTGGCTAATTCGTACGAGTTTAGTCGTACGACAATGTACGATTTTTAAAAGGAGGCGTGGCACCTAACCCCAACCGTCATTGGGTGATGAGCAAATCGTACTAAATTATACGAATTAGATTGTACGAATTAATACGAATTAGCCACTAAATCAAAAAGTTACGAAAGGGGTATTTTGACATAAGTTAAAATTACTTCATCGTTTCTTTTTCCCCCATGTGGGTTTTAAACCAGACTTTTTAATGTTGAACGCAAAAGAAGATATTTTGAAGAATGCTGGTTGCTCATTGACATTCATAGGAAACTACTATAGAAGTCAATGGGTGCCAGCTACCAGCATTACGGGGAAGTCTATGGGATACAAGTGCGGATACTCGCATCAATATAGCATTATTTTTTTTAAACTAAATTGTACAACAATAATGAATATTTTTACATTACTGTTAGACGTTAATAAAATATAATTTATTAAGTAATTTAATAAATAAGATCAATAATACTCTGTATAATTACTGGCTGCGTCCGAAACCGCCTACTACTCAGTAGGTACTGTATTTGAATTTAAATGTACTACTCGAACGATAGAAAAGTATGTTCTATACAGTATGAATGTGAAAAGTATGAATGGAATTCGGACGTACTACATTCGCCATTTTGTCATGGTCACGTGACCTACCTGCGTCAGTTGCGTCGCTTCACTTCCATTCATGATTTCTCTCGTGGGGCATTATGGGATAGCGCAGCGTGCATGGGATGCGCACTCCAGAATCTTACCGGAGGTAGTAAGTCATCCGGGCCCTTCTCGCATACTGATTTTCTAATTCTATGAATTCGGACACACTACTCAGCTCGCATACTGATTTTAGCGTACTATATAGTATGGAAGTATGCGGTTTCGGACACAGCCACTGTTTTTGCATTACAGATGGTTGGGTTTAGAGTTGTAGTAGAGGGTGGACATTAATAAAAAACAATTTAATGAGTAATTGAATAAATAATATGAATAATACTCTGTTTAATTACTGTTTCTACCTTAGTGTGAAGGCTAGGGTTGGGGTAGACATTAATAAAACAGAATTTAATGGGCAATTTAATAAATAATATCAATAATACTCTGTATAAGTAGTGTTTCTACATTAGTGTGAGGTTTGGATTGGGGTAGACATTAATAAAACACAATTTAATGGGCAATTTAATAAATAATATCAATAATACTCTGTATAATTAGTGTTCCTACATTAGTGTGAGGTTTGGTTTGGGGTAGTTATTAATAAAACACAATTTAATGGGCAATTTAATAAATAATATCAATAATACTCTGTATAATTACTGTTTCTACATTAGTATGAGGGCTTGGGTTGGGGTAGACATTAATAAAACACAATTTAATGGGCAATTTAATAAATAATATCAATAATACTCTGTATAAGTAGTGTTTCTACATTAGTGTGAGGTTTGGTTTGTGGTAGACATTAATAAAACACAATTTATTGGGTAATTTAATAAATAATATTAATAATACTCTGTATAATTAGTGTTCCTACATTAGTGTGAGGGCTTGGGTTGGGGTAGTTATTAATAAAACACAATTTAATGGGCAGTTTAATAAATAATATCAATAATACTCTGTATAACTAGTGTTTCTACATTAGTATGAGGGCTAGGGTTGGGGTAGACATTAATAAAACACAATTTAATGGGCAATTTAATAAATAATATCAATAATACTCTGTATAATTAGTGTTTCTACATTAGTGTGAGGGCTTGGGTTGGGGTAGACATTAATAAAACACAATTTAATGGGCAATTTAATAAATAATATCAATAATTCTCGTTTACATCCAGGCCACAGCTGTATCCCTTCTAGCACCACCCAGCATTACACCATCAAATGTGAACAGGAAATGCATTCTCATTAAAGTCAATGTCCTTCATCTCTCCTCCAGGCTCTTTCCTCTCTGAACTTCCTAGAAAAGTTGGATCTGTCTTACAACAATCTCCGTGTCCTTCCACCAGAGTTCTCTCATGGTCTGACCTCCATTAAAGACCTCAAGATGTCTCACAACTCTCTGGAGCGTCTCGAGAAACACTCCCTGAAGGAGCTCGAAAGTCTGGAGCGCTTGGATCTCAGTCACAACCACATCCAGATCATTGAAGTGGGTGCGTTTCGTGGACTCACCATGCTACGCCATCTGAATCTAGCCTGGAATCAGCTGTCGGTTCTCCAAGGAGGACTCCTGACCATGCAGCAGGGTCTAAGCCTTCTTATACTAGCCCACAATAACATCTCCAGGATCGACGCAGAAGCTCTGGCTCCACTTCAGACTCTTACCATCCTGAATTTAGAAGCAAATCAATTAAGGAGCTTGAAGTTCAAGACTTTCCTAAACCTTCAGACGCCTAGCACGCATCTGCAGATGTCGGAAAACCCCTGGATTTGTGACTGCGAGCTGCATCGGGTGTTCAGTAAGATACTACGCGTCAAGCACCTCCATGTTGACGATTATATGAATATTACATGCCATTCGCCGCTGTTGTTGGCTGGAGCGTCTTTGGGTTTGATGCACAGTCAGCTGTGTGTCGCGGAAACAGCCACGGTGTTGGTGATCACCGGGACTGTGATGGTCACTGTGGTGGCGGCGCTGGTTATGGCGGAACGCAAGCGGAAGAAGCAGAAGATGAACGTGGAAAGGCAAGGAAGTGATCCCATGCCTTGGGAGGCCCGTAAATGAAGAACGCAGGAGACAAAGTGTGTTGTTCTTACAAAGTGACTGCTTACTGTGCATCTGGAAAGTATTCATAGCGCTTCACTTTTTCCACATTTGTTTATGTTACAGACTTATTGCAAAATGAATTAAATGAATTTATTTCCTCAATATTTTACACACAATACAAAATACGAGTTTTTGAAATTGTTGCTAATTTATTAAAAATAAAAAAACCTGAAAAATCACAAGTACATCAGTATTCACAGCCTTTGCTCAATACTTTGTTGATGCATCTTTGGCAGTGATTACAGCCTCAAGTTTTCTTAAATATGATGCCACAAGCTTAATACACCTGTCTTTGGGAATTCCTCTTTGCAGTACCTCTCAAGCTCTATCAGGTTGGATGGGAAGTGACGGTGTACAGCTATTTTCAGATCTCTCCAGAGATGTTCAATAAGATTTAGGTCTGGGCTCTGGCTGAGCCACTCAACGACATTCACAGAGTTGTTGTGAAGACACTCTATTGATATTTTGGCAGTGTGCTTTGGGTTATTGTCCTGCTAGAAGATAAACCATCGCCCCAGTCTGAGGCCAAGAGCACTCTGAAGCAGGTCTTCATTCAGGATGTCTCTGTACATTGCTGCATTCATCTTTCCCTCTATCCTGACTAGTCTTCCAGTTCCTGCTGCTGAAAAACATCCCCACAGCATGATGCTGCCACCAGCATGCTTCACTGTAGGGATGCTGTTAGCCTGGTGATGAGCGCTGCCTGCTGTTCTCCAAACGTAACACCTGGCATTCACTCCAAAGAGTTCAATTTTAATCTCATCAGACCAGAGAAATTAGTTTCTTATGGTCTGAGAGTCCTTCAGATGCCTTTTGGCAAACTCCAGGCGGGGAGAGGCTTCAGTCTGGCCACTCTACCATACAGGCCTGATTGGTGGATTGCTGCACAGATGGTTGTCCTTCTGTAAGGTTCTCCTCCTCTCCACAGAAGAAGGCGGGAGCTCAAACAGAGTGACCATCGGGTTATCGATCACCTCCCTGACTAAGGCCCTTCTTCCCCGATCACTCAGCTTAGATGGCCGGCCAGCTCTAGGAGGAGTCCTGGTGGTTCCAAACATTTTCCACTTACGGATGATGGAGGCCGCTGTGCTCATTGGAACTTTCAGAGCAGCAGAACTTTTTCTGTAACCTTCCCCAGCCTTGTGCCTCGAGACAATCCTGTCTCGGAGATCTACAGACAATTCCTTTGTCTTCATGCTTGGTTTGTGCTGTGACATGCACTGTCAACCCTGAGACCTTATATAGACAGGTGTATGCCTTTTTAAATCATGTCCAATCAACGGAATTTACCACAGGTGAACTCCCAGGTTGTATATAATAAAAACCAGAGATATTTACTATACTACTAAGTGCAAGAAAGACTATAAGAATAAATTGGATGAAGCCACAACCTCCAACAATAGCACAGTGGATAGAAAAACTTAATCAATATATAGAATGAAATATATGAATGCCTAACTTCAATTGAAATTGGATATTTTTAAACAAAGATGGCCACCTGTTACTATGGATCTGAACATGGCAACAGGACACAGTATTGCCAGCAGTGTCCTTTGAAAGTCGGAACTGATGTACAGTTGAAGTCAGAATTATTCGCCCCCCTGTTTATTTTTCTCCTCAATTTCTGTTTAACGGAGAGCAGATTTTTTTTTTCAGCACATTTCTAATCATAATAGTTTAAATAACTCATCTCTAATAACTGATTTATTTTATTTTTGTCATGATGACAGTAAATAATATTTGACTAGATATTTTTAAGACACTTCTATACAGCTTAAAGTGACATTTAAAGGCTTAACTAGGTTAGGTAGGCAGGTTAGGGTAATTAGGCAAGTTATTGTAATGATGGTTTGTTCTGTATCAGAAAAAAAATAGCTTAAAGGGGCTAATAATTTAAACCTTAAAATGGTGTTTAAAAAAATGTAAAAGTGTTTTTATTCTACCCGAAATTAAACAAATAAGACTTTCTCCAGAAAAAATATATTATCAGACACACTGTGAAAATGTCCTTGCCCTGTTACACATCATTTGGGAAATATTTAAAAAAGAAAAAAACTTCAAAAGGGGGCTAATAATTCTGACTTCAACTGTGTGTGTCTTTTTGCAATTTGTTTTTATTTACTGGTTGTTATTACTATTTTTTTTTTATATAACTGCTGCTGTCACTGACTGTTTAGTTCTGTAAAATGTTTTAATGTAATAATATAGTTAAAACATTAATTGGACTTTCTCAATGTTTGATAACTTATTTATTTTTGAACCCTTCTAGCTTTTCAAAGTTTAAAATCTGTAAATTATGCAAAAATTATTATTTAGGTGGTCAGCTAGGCTTGTTTTAGAGACATGTTGGCTGCTCTATTTTAAGAAGCTCTCATTAATTATACCAAAATTGTCCTGGAGGAAATCGAACATGAGATTGCATTTCACAGTTCAAGAGTGTTTGTTAGTGAACTGAAGCTGAATGACGCATTATAGGCCAGGTTTGTTTACACTTTGAAACTCAATATCTGGAGTACACGGCCTGACCTTTCGGCATCAGCTGTAATTTTATTCAGTGTTACTTTGTGTACCGGAATGTTAGAAATAATGTACTATTTAGTCCTCAGAGCTATATATAAAGCAAGTTTCACTTTGATATTTTTAATCATTTGAGACCGGTTACTCACTGAAGCTAAGCAAGGCTGTAGGTGACCTCATGGGAAAACTAGGTTGCTGTTGGAAGTGGTGTTTGTGAGGCCAGCAGGGGGCGCTCAACCTGCAGTCTGTGTGAGTGCTAATGCCCCAGTAAAAGTGAAGGGGACACTATACTGTCAGTGGGCGCCGTCTTTCGGATGGCATGTTAAACCGAGGTCCTGACTCTCTGTGTAGGGCTGTGCAATTAATCGAAAACCCGATTTCGATTTTGGCTTTTAACGATTATGAAAAACCATTAATCGAGATAAACGATTATTCCATCACGTACCGCCCCCTTTCCAGTTGTACACGTGTGAAAACTCTTTGCATCTGCAAAGCTCAGTTCCATGTGAAAATGACTAAAAGCATGCGCTGTAATGTAACTTTTGCAGCACGGGATGCGCATCATTCATATTTTTAAAATCGCAAAAGAACACGTGCGGTTGTGTGTGCGCGCGCTGTGCTTAGCCTCGGACAGGTAGCATGTGTGTGTTTCTGCGCGCGCTTGGCCTCGGACTGCAGAGCACACACACATCTAACGCGATCTTAATGTGAGCACTTTAATAGTCAAATACATGCACATTTGTGTCAGAGCGTGGTGTTTAGTGATTATTTATATTAACCCCCTTTTGTGTAATAAACAAACAAGTTGAGAATCAAAAGACACGAGAAAGAGAAACCATATCAGAGCCACACTATTCTTAAAAAGACAGCGTGCGGTATTCCTGCTGCTGCCGACTGTTTTCATTATTAATCAATAATAAAATCAAAAAATACAGTGAAGATGCTTAAAGCACAGTTTAAACAACAGATTTAATAACTCATTTCTAATAACTGATTACTTTCATCTTTGCTACGATGACAGCACATTATAATTTACTAGATGTTTTTCAAGATACTCAGCTTAAAGTGACATTCAAAGGCTTAATTAGGGTAAATAGACAAGTCATTGAATAACAGTAGTTTCTTCTGCACACAATCAAACATATATACTGCTTAAAGGGGCTAATAATATCGAGCTATTAAAATAGGTTTCAAAATAATCAAACCTGCTTTTATTCTAGCTGAAATAAAACAAAAGTCTTTCTCCAGAAGGAAAAAATATTTTAGGAAATACTGTGAAAAAACCCTGTTAAACATCATTTGGGAAACATTTATAATTAAAAATAAATTCACAGGAGCGCTAATAATTTTGACTTCAACTGATAATCGTTTTAAATAATCGTGATTACAATTATGACCAAAATATAATCGTGATTATGATTTTTCCCATAATCGAGCAGCCCTATCTCTGTGGTCATTAAAAATCCCATGGCACTTCTTGTACAGAGAGTAGGGGTGTAGCAAGACAAATTCTCTCTATTGACCCTTACTCGTCAAGGCCTCCCAATCATACCCATCCACTGAATTGGCTCTATCACTGTCTCTCCACTCCACCAATAGCTGGTGTGCGGTGAGCGCACTGGCCCCGTTGTCCGGTGGCTGCCGTTGCATCATCCAAGTTACATTACATTAGTTAATACTCAGTATTAATTTAAATATATCTATTAAATCTATCTATTCTAAATATTTAACGGATGAAAATATAAACGGTGGCATCATATTTGTCAACCATTTTACATGACAGATACTGTATCATGTATATATAAATAGGAGTTTTTGTAGATTGCATACAAAACGATTTTATTTGACATTGTGACGCTTTTACAGAAGTTGTATCAGGAATGCAAAATTATTACAAGCAGCAAAAAAATGCAGTGTCATGAGAAATGTCTGTAACATAGCTGAAAAACATGAAATAATGTTTACAAACTCCCTTTAATAGGGATAGTTCACCCAAAAATTACAATTCTGTCATCATTTACTTGTTTCAACCCTTTATGGGTTTCTTTCATCTGTTGAACACACGAAAAGATATTTTAAAAAAAGTTGCAACCATTGACTTCCATAGTATTTGTTTTCCTACTACAGAAGTCAATGGTTACAGGATTTCAGCATTCTTCAAATTATCTTCTTTTGTGTTCAACGGAAAAAAATAAACTCAAATTGAATGGAAACGAATAAATAATGAGCAAATTTCCATTTGTACGTGAACTACCTTTTTAAATCAGCATTCAACTTTAATTTAACTATTAACGCTGCTCATCGTCGTCCCCATTATAGGGATAGTTCACAAAAAAATTACAATTCTGTCATCATGTACTTGTTTCAAACCTGTTTCATTTATCTTTTGAACACAAAAGAGGATATTTTGAAGAAAGCTGCAACCACTGACTTCCATAGCATGTGTTTTCCTACTATACAAGTCAATGGTTACAGGATTTCAGCATTCTTCAAATTATCTTCTTTTGTGTTCAACAGAAAAAATAAACTCAAAATGAATGGAAATTACTTGAGGGTGAATAAATAATAAGCAAATTTCCATTTTTCCGTGAACTATACCTTTAAGCATTCAACTTTAATTTAACTGGTAAAACTCATCGTCGTCCCCTTAATAGGGATAGTTCACCCAAAAATTACACTTCTGTCATCATTTACTTGTTTCAAACTTGTGTTTCTTTTATCTGTTGAACACAAAAGAAGATATTTTGAAGAAAGCTGCAACCATTGACTTCCATAGTATTTGTTTTCCTACAAGTCAATGGTTACAGGATTTCAGCATTTTTCAAAATATCTTCTTTTGTGTTCAACAGAAAAAAATAAACTCAAAATGAATGAAAACGACATGTGGGTGAATAAATAATGAGCAAATTTCCATTTGTGTGTGAACTACCCCTTTAAATCAGCATTCAACTTTAATTTAACTATTAAGACTCATCGTTGTCCACTTAATAGGGATAGTTCACCCAAAAAAAAAAAAATTCTGTCATCATTTACTTATTTCAAACCTGTTTCATTTATCTGTTGAACACAAAAGAGGATATATTGAAGAAAGCTGCAACCACTGACTTCCATAGCATGTGTTTTCCTACTACAGAAGTCAATGGTTACAGGATTTCAGCATTCTTCAAATTATCTTCTTTTGTGTTCAACAAAAATAAAATAAACTCAAATTGAATGGAAACGACTTGAGGGTGAATAAATAATGAGCAAATTTCCATTTGTGTGTGAACTACCCCTTTAAATCAGCATTCAACTTCAACTATTAAGACTCACCGTCGTCTCCTTAATAGGGATAGTTCATCCAAAAATAACAATTCTGTCATCACTTACTTGTTTCAAACCCGTGTTTCTTTCATCTGTTGAACAGAAAATAAGATGTTTTGAAGAAAGCTGAAAACCTGTAACTAATGACTTCCATAGTATTTGTTTTTTTCTACTATAGAAGTCAATGGTTACAGGATTTCAGCATTCTTCAAATCATCTTCTTTTGTGTTCAACAGAAAACAAAATAAACTCAAAATGAATGGAAATTACTGGAGGGTGAATAAATAATAAGCAAATTTCCATTTTTCCGTGAACTATACCTTTAAGCATTCAACTTTAATTTAACTGGTAAGACTCATCGTCGTCCCCTTAATAGGGATAGTTCACCCAAAAATTACACTTCTGTCATCATTTACATGTTTCAAACTTGTGTTTCTTTCATCTGCTGAACAAAAAAAGATATTTTGAAGAAAGCTGCAACCACTGACTCCCATGGCAAGTGTTTTCCTACTACAGAAGTCAATGGTTACAGGATTTTAGCATTCTTCAAATTATCTTCTTTTGTGTTCAACAGAAAAAAATAAACTCAAAATGAATGGAAACGACTTGTGGGTGAATAAATAATGAGCAAATTTCCATTTGTGCGTGAACTACCCCTTTAAATCAGCATTCAACTTTATTTTACCTATTAACACTCATTGTTGTTCCCTTAATAGGGATAGTTCACGCAAAAATTACAGTTTTGTCATCTTTTACTTGTTTCAAACCCGTGTTTCTTTTATCTGTTAAATGCGAAAAGATATTTTAAAAAAAGTTGCAACCATTGACTTCCATAGCATTTGCTTTTTCCTACTACAGAAGTCAATGGTTACAGGATTTCAGCATTCTTCAAAATATCTTCTTTTATGTTCAACAGAAAAAAATAAACTCAAAATGAATGGAAACGACTTGTGGGTGAATAAATAATGAGCAACTTTCCATTTGTGCGTGAACTACCCCTTTAAATCAGCATTCAACTTTAACTATTAAGACTTGTAGTCGTTCTTTTAAATAACGCATAATAAAAAAAGCAAACAAAATGTAATGTAAACAGCCTTCAGAAGACTTTACGCTCGCGATCTGATACTCCAAAAAGCGAGCTGAGAATTGCATCCTCTGCACCTTTGAATGTTCAGAGCATTAACGTCATCAAAATGATCCCCTGAGACACGCACGAGCTCACCGTTTGTCCTTGTACGGAGATCTTTCACGCATGTTTAGCTGTCGGTGGCCAAAATGAGCACGGCTCCGAAGATGCCCACGTTCTGCCCGATGAGCTTCATCTGGTTCCAGAACTCCACACGGCAGCTGCGGTGCCAATAACCGAAGTTACCGTCGATGAAGAGGATGACCAGCGGTAAGAGGACAGCCAGGATCTGTGAAGCCACGCGCACGTAACATCCAGACAGGTATGCGAGCGCCAGCACACCGAACACCAGCACCAGCAGCTGAACAGTCAGCTCTCCTCCGGGAATGTGGTCCAGATAGGCCAGCCGGTCCTCCTTACTGTGCTGCAGCGAGTACACCTGGAGGAGGAATAATAGAGGTAATGGCAACACAACACCGCCTACTGTATTATATGTAATGCATATACTTCTAACACTGTGTCCTGACAACATGTGACGATTACAGCGACAAGCAATATGGCTGTCTGCACCAAAGGCGTCACGACATGACAGACACATTTAATTACCAGCTACTGCACTCCCACTGAAATGGTGAAGGCTTTTAATTCATTCATATTAAACCTCTTCAACATTATTAATAGGCTACTGAGTGACTAATGTTGTTGGTTTGCATCGAGTCAACATCTGCTGCTGCTTTCAGTAATAAATGTAATGTAAAATAGTATTTAGGTGCATCTCTGAATCAGTCATCTGCACGTCAGTAACTGTCTGGTTTAGCTCAGCTACCAAATCTGACCTTCGAAGACTACGTTGAATAGTTCGGACTGCTAAGTGGATCATTGGTACAACCCTCCCTACTCTCCAAGAACTGAACTTATCCAGAGCGAGCAGAAGGACTGCCAAAATCACTCTGGACCCCTCACACCCAGCACACTGCCTCTGAACTTTTACCTTCTGGTTGACATTAGAGCACTGTGCACAAGACCAGCCCGACACAGAAACAGTTTCTTCCCTCAGGCAATCCATCTCATGAACATTTGATGATAGTACTTGTGGAGCCAACATCACTACTTGCTATTCACTTTTATACAAATATATACTTATTTAACAACACACTTTACATGCCAACGTGCACATAACAGCTGCACATATAACACTGTCTATATGAGCAATATCACACTTGTAGCAGTGCGATATGGTTGTATATCAGCACTGGTGGGAGGCGTGCGTTGACACGAGGCCACAGGACGAGTGCCTTAGTGCCCCCACCAGTGCCGATATACAGCCATATCGCACTGCTACAAGTGTGATATTGTGTTTATACAACAGTTTGACGGCATAATTGTGTATTTTAAAAACAAAATCAGACATGGAGAGTGTCTAAAACCCTTTTGTATGAGGAACTACTTTCTTCCGCGTTGGATTCAAAGCCTAAGCTGACAGTTAAACAGCCGAGCAAGCATCTTTTAAACTTCAGATCTGTAGTGTCTGCTTTGTTGCTGGCTGTTTGTGGGCGAAGTGATACACAAGGGGTAAAGAGGCTGTACGGGTGCTGATATTACTTAAATATATCACGGCTATCAGCCAATCAGATTCGAGAACCAGACAGGACTGTTGTATAAAGTAATATAGCTCTACATACACTTGCTAATCTGTATATTTGCAATCACTACTTGCTTCTATTTTTAAAATATGTTTATTATCTGTTTTTTGTCCTGTCTTTGTAAAGCCTGGTTTATACTTCTGCGTCAAGTGACCGGCATGACCCAAGTGGCTCAAACCTCGCTCATTTTGAGGCAGGAACTGGCGGATGTGCAACAACTTTAACTATGAGGTAAACACAGAACAAAACTTTCCATCCGGAGCTCCTTCACGGGACTCCACACATGTAAACAATCGCTCGCGCCATTAGCACGGCTCTCGGTCCCGCCTAGACTCGTCAGCGCTACCGAGCCAACCAATCACAGAGCTTGCGCTACGCGTCGTTGCGACATGTAGTTACAATTTTTGAGAGGTGCACGTCAGCGACGGCCATGGCGAATGGCTATGCGTCTGCGCCGTAGCATACGCCGGCGTTTGACGGAGAAGTATAAATCAGCCTTAATTCTGTAGAAGCTTCTATGAAAACAAATTCCTCATATGTGTGAACATACCTGGCGATAAAGCTGATTCTGATTCTGATTCTTTGGTAGCATTTAACACTGAATAAAGCACATCAGTACCTGAGGTTATTATTGACAAAATAGTTTATGCTGTTGTTCTGCAGTGATGTCGTGGAAATAAAAAAAACATTTCTGAAATAGAAATTTTACGCCAAAAAAAATAGCTAATGTTATTAAATTATATTAGATTCAACTTCATAGTTACACTACAGATGGATGTACTATGAACATTATATACAGGTTGTATTAGCTATGAAAAGATGTACGATAAATGAGTATATGTACAATGTATTACATGTTTTTTAGAAATTAATTCCAAGAAGTAAGGCCGGATTTAAAACACATTGGGCCCTGGGGCTATAACAAATCCAAGGGACCCCCTTTTATTTTTTTACCTTACAAAACTATATAGTTATCTTTATTATAAGTTGTTATTATTAACAATAATTTGCTAATTAATATTATTATCTAATTTTACACCATTTGATTTATACTTATTATTTTTTTCTCTATTTTCTTAAAATCGACCTGCAAGTATACAAAACTAAGTAATGACATAATATGAACATGTTAATACCATGTGGAAACAATAATACGTCTTAGATCAGAGGTTCTCAAAGTGGGGGTCGGGACCCCCCGAGGGGTCGCGGGACAATGAAGGGGGGGGTCGCCTGGTGATTTTCAAAAATCAATTAATTTTTATTAAACCTTAAGACTTACTGTATTTTATAAATAACCTACTGAACCTACTAGCTTATAGTTACTAGTTCTATTGGATTGCGACTTCTCGGGTAATTACATTATACTAAAGACACAGCAATACTGTCAGATGCAGCAGATTTCGTAACACCAGGTTAAACTTTCTTGCCCATTTACAGCACTGACATACATAAAAAAACAAAACAAAGAATAGACTTGGGTCTATTGGTGTGTGTGCGCGTCATTGCATACAAGGTTTCTATATTTATAACCACCACCTCAGAGAATATTGGGGGTCACGAGTCACTGGCATTGTCATTTTGGGGGTCGCGGGCTGAAAAGTTTGGGAACCCCTGTCTTAGGGTGCTTTCACACCTGTGAATCGATTCAGTTGTTCCGAAACAGAGATTAAAATTGTTACATTGTTGCTCTTTGCTCTTGGAGCGGTTCGCTTTCACATTGCAAAGTTTCTAATCGGACCAAAAGAGCTAAAACAAGTCACGTGTGAGTAAACTCTCCTCACATTGGTCAGAGTGTCAGGGTTTATTTTGCAGAGTCCCGCTCAGCTGTCAGGAGAGGTGGTGGTTTGGTGGTGATTGACAGGGTGCGCGCGCGATGTGTCTAAGGAGAGATGCGGTGGGGAGGGGTGAGAAGGGTGCGCGACGTAGCCTATTTGATGACCGGGAGGGAGACGCGAGATTACCGGGAGATCATCACTCGTTTGCGGGCATCCGGAGACTCGCGAAACTTCCCGCCCTACTTATAATTCTCTCTTCATATCGCCGTATGCCTATTACATATCCATAAAACACTGTGATATAAGCGCGCTCGGATCGGATCGCTTTCTCACTGCAATCGAACCGCTCCAGGGTTCGTTTCAATCGAGCCGAGACCACCTCATTCAAGCGATCTCGGAGCGATTACTTTGGCGCGGAACAGAGCGAGATTGCCCTGTTCACATATGCCAATCGAACCGCGCTAACTGGGCAAACGAGATACGTTCCGAAACAAAAGTGTAGGTGTGAAAGCACCCTAAGATGACCATTTGTGAGCAGATCACTGAAAGCAGACTGGTATTAAATGGTGATAAAATGGCAAACTCACCATACATATCAAGTAAATGCCCAGGAAGACCTGTCCGGTGGACTGCAGTGAGCGTGTGCGGGGTTTCTGTCTGTAAACCTCTCCCGCTCCGCTGGACAGAATCAGAAAGCCTCCGATGATGGCCATTGCTCGGGAGTACATCCGTACCTGTGGTGGTCAGGAACAAACAGATAATCAACCATGATTTACAGGTATGGCTGGGTTTAGGCTAGGGAATAGGTATGGATTTGTATTTTCCAACAAAAACGATGTTCCTTGATCAACAAAGATGTTAATCCAGAATCGCATCGTACTATTATGATGTGCGTTTATTAGTAGCTATAAAATATGATTTATTCTACATGTCTAATTCTAGCTAAATGCTAAACCCAACTACTACCTTAACTACTATTCAAGAGTTCACCCTTAGCTGATGACTGATTATAAAGCTTGTTTGGCATGCTGTCCAGGGAGAGAGCCCTGAACTCGTGATATCCTCGAGCCCGGGGCTCCCCCTATTGCAGGGCGAGACGGAAGTCAGAGTTCAGGTAAGTCTCGAGTACTCCCCTGCTTGATAATGTTGGAAGTAGATTGATGCTGTGAAGTGTCTATGCTGTCAATTTTCTTGTGTTACATGTTTTTGGTCTGTCGGAGGAAACCGGAGAGCCCGGTGAAAACCCACGCAAACACGAGGAGAACATGCAAACTCCGCACAGAAACGCCGACCTGGCCAGGTAGAGTCCGAGCCGGTTGCATTCTTGCTGTGCGACCGTGGTGCTAACCACTAGGCCTCCGTGCTGCCCTGACAAGGAAATGGGAGGAGTAGGGGTGGAAGGGGGGATTCTTCAAGACGAAGATGGTTGAGGTAAGATACTCTGGTTATTTATAGTGCTTAAGGAGTCGTCTGATTGGTGAATCAGCATTAGCTAATGTGGACCAGGTGCTAGCAATCATAAGCACGTGCTCCTCTCGAAATTAGTTTATAAATAAACTTCACTTAATAAACAGCTCATAAATTTAATAGCTGCGTCCGAAATCGCCTACTACTCAGTAGGTGCTGCATTTGAATTTAAACGTACTACTCGGCCGTTAGAAAAGTATGTTCGATGCAGTATGAACGTGAAAAGTATGAATGGAATTCGGACGTACTACATCCGCCATTTTGTCATGGTCATGTGACCTACCTGCGTAAATTGCGTCGCTTTACTCCTATTCATGAATTCGCTCGAGGGGCATCATGGGATAGTGCAGCGTGCATGGGATGCACACTCCAGAATCTCGCCGGGAGTAGTAAGTCATCCGGGTACTTCTCGCATACTGATTTTCGAATTCTATGGCTGTGTCCGAAACCGCATACTTCCATACTATACAGTACGCGAGCCGAGTAGTATGTCCGAATTCATAGAATTCGAAAATCAGTATGCGAGAAGTACCCGGATGACTTACTACCTCCGGCGAGATTCTGGAGTGTGCATCCCATGCACGCTGCGCTATCCCATAATGCCCCGCGAGGGAATTCATGAATGGGAGTGAAGCAACGCAAATTACGCAGGTGCGTCACATGACTATGTCAAAATGGCGGATGTAGTACATCCGAATTCTATTCACACTTTTCACATTCACACTGTATAAAATGTACTTTTTTAACGGCCGAGTAGTACGTTTAAAATTCAAATGCAGTACCTACTGAGTAGTAGGCGGTTTCGGATGCAGCCTATGAATTCGGACATACTACTCGGCTCGCGTACTATATAGTATGGAAGTATGCGGTTTCGGACGCAGCCAATGGCTATTTTTTTCCCCAACATTCCTCAGTATATCTTCTTTTGTGTTCAGCAAAATAAGTGAAAGTTGAGTAAATGATTATGGAATTGTCATCTTTGGATATGTTCTGTCTCTTTAAATCAGACTCTGTTTTACCTTCAGCCAGTCTCCATAATGGACTTGCCCTCCCACATAGGACACATAGGTGCTGAGGGCCAGATGAATGGCAGCTGCCAGCGCGAACCATCTTCTCTTCACACCAAACGACATGAAACTGGCACACAGCACTGCAGCTCCCAGATCTATGTACAGGTAGGGCACCTGGATGTCTGGCTTCCTTAAACGACAATGAAACAGAGAGAATTTATTTAAGTGCAAGTAAGATTTTCCGACTTTAAAGTCTGCATGAACTGGAGGCTGCGACTGTTTTTATTTTGTATAGTGATGCAGTTTCTAGAGAAACGGAATATTAAATGAGAAAACAGTGGGCGTGGCTTGTTTTTTTCTGCTGTGAGCTGATTGGATGTACTGAAGAAGGCATTTAATTTGGGAAAGATGGAGAAAATGGTTTGGGAAGAGTTATTACAGCCTGACAGACTCCTCCTGCTCACCATTTCTGATCGTGTCAAAACTGACAGCACGAGGGGGGTGTGGTTAAGCGTGTTAGCCACACCCACTACCTCAGACCTAATCTGAGAATTTGAATTAAAAGAAACAGCAAGTGCATTTTCAGATTTTAATCAAGTATTAGAAGGGCCAACTATTGTTTGTTTTTCTTAATGACTTGTATAGATCAATTGTTCATCACAAAACTAGCAATGTGAGCTGACAAAATCAATATAGCTAGTTTTGATATTAAGTGTACTTTAAATATCATTGTATGCTAGTCTATGAATTGAATTTAAAGTGATAGTTCACCCAAACAATCATTTACTCACCCTCGACTTGTTCCAAACCAGGTTTCTTCGTTCTGTTAAATACAAAGCAAGATATACTGAAGAAAGCTGGAAACATTGACTTCCATAGTATTTGTTTTTCCTACTATGGAAGTCAATGGTTACAGGTTTTTAGTTTTCTTTTTCTTCAAAATATCTTTTTCAGTGCTCAACAAAATAAAGAAACTCGTAGATTGATAGAACAACAATAGATTGAGGTACAGTTAAAGTTGCTTTTATATTCACACATTTGTTCATTTTTGAACAGTCACATGACAGCTATATTGTTTACCACACTATATTAGATTGAGGTAAAGTTGGTTTTATATTCGGATATTCATACATTCTCCTTAATAATATAATTTCAAAGAAGTATTCTTTGTTAATTGTAAATAGGGAAATCATATTAGCAGCCAATGACTATCAAAGTACAACATTGTTCACAGTCAAATAAATAGTGCTAATCTTGTTTTGAAGTCATACTTAAATGCCATTTCAGACTGCATATTTAAAGTAGCGTGGTAAACATTACAGACACAGTTAAATGAATGAATGTGCGAATATAAAACCAACTTTACCTCAATCTATATTCGGTTCAAAATTACCTGTAATTATGACTATAAAACAAGATTAGCACTATTTAATTGACTGTAAACAATGTTGTACTTTGATAGTCATTGGTTGCTAATATGATTCCACTAAAAATTCGCAAATAATCGTTTTCTTAAATTATATTAAGAATGTGTAAGTCAGAATAAGCGAATATGAAACCTGGTTTCAACGTTACCTCAATAGTAAATAGTGAGGTACGTTTTCATTTGAGGGTGAACTGCCCCTTTAAATGCTATCGTATGGCAGTGTTTGATGATTATTTGAATGAAACTTAACAAGCAAGCGTGAAATATGTTACTAAACGCGATGATACATGAACACACACGCATAAATCTTGATAACACACAAGTACTTTCATTATTAATAGCATTCACTAGTTAAATAAATGCACATAACATGCGTTTATACTGCGAGCTGTTTATTTGGTTTCTATCAAACACTGACGAACCGTTTGACGTCGGCGCGCTCCGCGAACAGCATCAACATGGCGAAGCAGTTCCAGAAGCCGAACCGGGTCAGAATAAAAGCTCCGAACTGAGAGAAAAATCTCAGTGCTTTCTTGCGGGTTGCAGCAGCCATAGCTCAGGATGGCGGAAGTGTATTATTATTTGCTTCCCAGGGATCGTGAACGACTCGTTCTTATGAGTCGAATCTTTTGAATGAATCACTACATCGGCTCAGTGAATGGGTAAAGCTGTGTGATACAGCTGCGTATACATCAATATAGCATACTTTTTGACACTATGCAACAACAATTAATATTTTTTTTAATTACTGAGAAGGTTGAGTTTAGAGTTAGACGGTAATAAAATACAATTGAAGGGGTAATTGAATAAATAATGTGAGTATGCTTGGTATAATTACTGTTTTTACATTACTGCGATGGTTGGTTTTAAGGTATGGGTAGATGTTAATAAAATACAATTAATTGATAATTGAATATATATATATATATATATATATATATATATATATAAATATATATATATAAACAATTCTCGTTAACCTCCGCAGCTGCATCCCTTCTAGCAACAATTCCGCGAAAGAGAAAACACCACGTGCCAAATAAATAACTTATATAGATATACGTTTTTTTTTACATTTATTATAATTTATTTAATGACTTGATAGATAAACCGCTTTTGTTTACGATATAACTGGATAAATAAAATGTCAAAAAAGATTATATCAGTTATGTTTGATGAATGCAATAAGAATTATAAAAAAAAATTAAACATTTAGGGGGGTTACAATAACTTCACCAAGACATAAAATATGCCACACTTTCTCTTTTTAAATAAAAAATCTAAATGAGCTGCAGTTAAGGCGTCATGACGTAAAAGATTCGCGGAGTCGTTCATACATTTGAACCTGAACCGGCTCTTTAAAAGAACTGACTCGCAGAAATGACTCTGAGTGTGCGCAGTGTTTCAGGAAGTGTGTTGGCAAATGTTTGCTGTTCTGACTTTTTTGTCTGACTTTACTTGTAACTCTCTCACATAGACTGCGACACAGAGGAGTTTTCCTGTAGAGGGCGCCCCATGGCTCCATCTAGAGAACCGCTTTCCCCCTTGAGCTGTACCAAAGACAACAGCCTTACAGGGACTTTGGCTGTACTGAGACTCAATTTCTTCAGGATATTTACCAGTATTTATTTATTTATATGGAAATGTTTTTTATAAAAATGTGTTGTAGTGTAAAATAATCTATATAGTTATACAACTATAGTATTGAGTAATTTGTTTACATTTTATGCTGTTGTGTTACCATGGCAACAATGAATTACCACAACGGATTAATTCAACTATTGTATGGTTCAAAAACACTATAGCTAGTATTTACCACAAATGAGTATTTCTTTCATGTGGGGAGTGGTTAAAGTATTGTTAAACAATTGTTTACGAGGTAATATTCAACTAAATATCCACATGTGCGCAACCTCACGTCAACAAACAGCTATCAATACGTGTCAATAAATCTTGTCATGTGTTATAACACTGTTATTGAGACTTACTTTCTCTAATGACACTTGGCTTCTGGATGTTTCCGGAGAGCCCCAAACACTAAAGCTTCAGTAATTGAGCTAAACCTGATCAGCAAGGAGGATTATGGGTCATGGATATCACGAGCTGTCACTCTCCCACATCCGGGACAGCTGACTTTCATTTAAACACACTTGCACTCGCTTCACAGGGGTTACGAATGTGAACAGTCAGAATACTAGAATGTTTTATTCATAGACAATATTGGGGTAAAGCATTACAAGTATTGCGGTAATATTACTTTTCTAAGTAACAAGTAATGCATTTTTTTCCCAGCAGGCACACTCATAAGACATTAATATTATTTTAAATTTAGGTCATGACGTCAGGTGACCAAAATTCAATGTCTAGACAGCGTCTAAGGACAAAGTTTTGACGACCAATAATGGCATCAAATGACGTTGATATTTTGTTGATTTTAGGTTGTGTTGGAAAGTGACCAAAATCCAACGTCATATTGACGTCAAATACTGACATATAACATCAAGCGTTGATATTTGGTTGATTTTAGGTTGTGTTGAAAAGTGACCAAAAGCCAAGCCAACATCTTAAACCAGCGTCATGATGACATCAAATACTGTATTGCAACCAAAATTCAACATCTGATAGACGTCATAGTAGCAACGTCCAAACGTCAAGTTGTAACATTGTTAGATGTTGAAATTTGGTTGATTTTAGGTTGTGCTGAAAAAGTGACCAAAATCCAACGTCATATTGATGGCAAATACTGACATTTATTCGTCAGGTATGGCAACCAAAATCCAACATCTGATAGATGTCATAGTTCAACATCCACACAACGTCAAGCTGTAACATCATTAGACATTGATATTTGGTTGATTTTAGGTTGTGTTGGAAACTGACCAAGTCCAACGTCATATTGACGTCAAATACTGACATTTATTCGTCAGGTATGGCAACCAAAATAAAATGTCATATTGATGTCAAATACTGACATTTATTCGTCAGGTATGGCAACCAAAATCCAACGTCATATTGACGTCAAATACTGACATTTATTCGTCAGGTATGGCAACCAAAATCCAACGTCATATTGACGTCAAATACTGACATTTATTCGTCAGGTATGGCAACCTAAATCCAACGTCATATTGACGTCAAATACTGACATTTATTCGTCAGGTATGGCAACCAAAATCAAACGTCATATTGACATCAAATACTGACATTTAGTCGTCAGGTATGGCAACCAATATCCAACGTAATATTGACATCAACTACTGACATTTATTCGTCAGGTATGGCAACCAAAATCCAACGTCTGATAGATGTCAAATGCTGACATTTATTCGTCAGGTATGGCAACCTAAATCCAACGTCATATTGACGTCAAATACTGACATTTATTCGTCAGGTATGGCAACCAAAATCCAACGTCATATTGACGTCAAATACTGACATTTATTCATCAGGTATGGCAACCAAAATCTAACGTCATATTGACGTCAAATACTGACATTTATTCGTCAGGTATGGCAACCAAAATCCAACGTCATATTGACGTCAAATACTGACATTTATTGGTCAGGTATGGCAACCAAAATCCAACGTCATATTGACGTCAAATACTGACATTTATTAGTCAGGTATGGCAACCAAAATCCAACGTCATATTGACGTCAAATACTGACATTTAGTCGTCAGGTATGGGAACCAAAATCCAACGTAATATTGACGTCAACTACTGACATTTATTCGTCAGGTATGGCAACCTAAATCCAACGTCATATTGACGTCAAATACTGACATTTATTCGTCAGGTATGGCAACCAAAATCCAACGTCATATTGACATCAAATACTGACATTTATTCGTCAGGTATGGCAACCAAAATCCAACGTCATATTGACGTCAAATACTGACATTTATTCGTCAGGTATGGCAACCAAAACCAAACGTCATATTGACGTCAAAAACTGACATTTATTCGTCAGGTATGGCAACCAAAATCCAACGTCATATTGACGTCAAATACTGACATTTATTCGTCAGGTATGGCAACCTAAATCCAACGTCATATTGACGTCAAATACTGACATTTATTCATCAGGTATGGCAACCAAAATCAAACGTCATATTGACGTCAAATACTGACATTTAGTCGTCAGGTATGGCAACCAAAATCCAACGTCATATTGACGTCAAATACTGACATTTATTCGTCAGGTATGGCAACCAAAACCAAATGTCATATTGACGTCAAAAACTGACATTTATTCGTCAGGTATGGCAACCTAAATCCAACGTCATATTGACGTCAAATACTGACATTTATTCATCAGGTATGGCAACCAAAATCAAACGTCATATTGACGTCAAATACTGACATTTAGTCGTCAGGTATGGGAACCAAAATCCAACGTAATATTGACGTCAACTACTGACATTTATTCGTCAGGTATGGCAACCAAAATCCAACGTCTGATAGATGTCAAATGCTGACATTTATTCGTCAGGTATGGCAACCTAAATCCAACGTCATATTGACGTCAAATACTGACATTTATTCGTCAGGTATGGCAACCAAAATCCAACGTCATATTGACATCAAATACTGACATTTATTCGTCAGGTATGGCAACCAAAATCCAACGTCATATTGACGTCAAATACTGACATTTAGTCGTCAGGTATGACAACCAAAATCCAACATCTGATAGACGTCATAGTGAAAACATCCACTCAACATCAAGCTGTAACCTTATTAGACGTTGATATTTGGTTGATTTTAGGCTGTGTTGGAAAGTGACCAAAATCCAACATCATATTGACCTCAGATACTGACATTTATTCGTCAGGTATGGCAATCAAAATCCCGCGTCTGATAGACGTCATTGTGGTAACATCCACACAACGTCAAGCTGTAACATCACTAGATGTTGATACTTGATTGATTTTAGGTTGGACGTTGGGTATTGACATCAGCCTGATGTTAGGTTAACAACATCAACCCAGTGTGCATTTTCAAACAATGTCCCCACGACGTTGGGGTACAACTTCAATCATGTTGACCCTCCTGTGCCTGCTGGGTCACTTTTTAGTTAAATTAATTAGCTTTAAAAAAAATAAATTGCCAAATTAAAATTATGATAGTGACCTTGAATCACAAACAGACATATACAGTGCGTTATACCAGGTGAGAAAAAGTAACGCAAAAGTAACGAAACGCATTAATTACTATAAAAAGTATCCAAGTAATGCAACTAGTTACTTTTTGGGGGAGTAACTCAATATGGTAATGCAGTACTTTCTGAAGTAACTTTCCCCAACACTGTTCACAGAACTCTAATGTAATCTACACACATTTTGGTTCAGAGTGTACATTAAATGGCTGAATGACATTTACAGTATCTTTGGTGTCTGTTAATGTGTCCATAAAAATGTAAATATGTCAGATTGCTTTATCGCAGTACACTGTAAAACACGATATCACAAATTTACAAATATTTGTATTCTACTTTAACTAATATTGGTGGGTTAATCAGGTTTCACCTACATTATTTTTCATCAGCTTGACTGCTGTAAGTTGAGATGATTACA